GCCTCTCCTTCACCCCCCATGTCACCCAGAGCTTATAGGGAAAGTGTGGAGGATCCGGGAGAAGGGGGATCTAGGGACTACCTCCCAGCAGCCCAACTTGCCCCCCGAGGGCCTCCATCATGGGGCCCTTCTGAGGAGGATTTAGAGGATTTGGACCAGCTGCCTGATAGCATCAGGAGACTCATCTCTGCTGCTATATCTAGGGGTATTTCCTCGGGTCTAGCCCAGAGTGACCGTTCTTTCCACCCGCAGTCTCCAGGTGCAGGTCCCCCTCCTCTTCCAGGGGACAGGATCATCCTAGGCCTCCTTCCCCTTCAGTAGTCAGGGAAGGTTCCATCTTAGGGAAGGCCATACACCCAGACTTGGGTTTTTTGGAGGATGTGGATTCCAGTTCCTCCAGAAGCCCCAGCATTTCTGGGTCTTTTCCCTCCCCCTGCCTTCAAGCCTATGTTACACAAGGCCAAAAAGACTACTCAGATTGGCACTGGGGCTCCACCAGTCTCCCAGCACAGGGATACCAACTTGGCCATGTTTATAAATCCCAACACAGATAAAGAGGAGGACCTGCCTCCTTGTCTAACCCTGGGAGCAATGATAGGCGTTATTACAATATGGAGCAGGCCTTCTCCCAGGCTCTGCAGCTTCCCACAGTAGATGCCCCGGTCACCCTTCTTGCTAATGCATCCACAGTGGTCTTCGGCGACGTGACCAACAACTGAAGCCAGAGGACAAGTGTGCGCTTTTCCCACGGGGATCGTCATTTTCAGTACAAGGCACTTCCATTTGGCCTGGCCTCTGCCCCCCGCATGTTCATGAAAGTCCTGGCTATGATGGCGGCTCACCTGCGCTCCCTGCCAGTGAGACTTCTTTGTTACCTCGACGACGTGCTCGTTCTAGCCCACTCCAGGATACAGGCAAATTGGAATCTGCAACTCACCATCCAGGCCCTGCAGTCCCTGGAGTTTTCCATCAACTTCTCCAAGAGCCATCTCTCTCCATCGACAAAAATCCTACATTTGGGCACAGTGATAGACTCAAGGTCAGGGATAGTTCGTCTTTCACCAGACCATCTGACAAGCCTGCAAACCCTGGCATGACACGTCCGCGCAAGTCGGTCAGCTTCCATCCTGACCTTGACATGCTTACTGGGCAAGATGGTGTCGTGCATAGGGATCGTCCCG